GCTGCCGTGTTTTCTGGAGACTTGGACTAAATGGACAAGTCAGACAGCTCCCAAGGTACCAAAAAAAAGCCAGAGTTAAAACTTCGAACACATGTTTTAGTGGATGCAGTCATTCTGTTCTGGGATTTCAGCCGAGCTAATCCTTATTTTCATTCTCCTCGCCACGAGGTTTCACTATTTTTCTGTTTCTTCATTTTGTTGGTGTTGTTATTGAATTTTATTATTTGTAAACGCTGTGTCCGACTGAATAATAATTCACCTATCACCTGTCCCGACAAAGGGTTTTACAAAAACCGCGACACGTGTTTCGCTATACAATAGCTTTCTTGAGAAAGCTACTGTATAGCGAAACGCGTATTGCGGTTTTTGTAAAACTCTTTATAGTGAAAATCATACAATAAACTGTATTAATTAGTTTTTAATTTGGACAATTCTATTCAAATATTTCCATAGATGGCGTCATAGTGCCACCATATTGAATTTGGAGTAACAGACTTCCGCGAAGCCATTCATTTAAGCTACTCGTTTAATATGCAAGGTTTATTGAAACCGGGAAAGGTTTCCACTTGTTTTTTTATTAGAAGTATCGGTTCTTGATCTCCATTTTTAAACTCCAGAAATAACTGAATGACACATAGTAACTATTTCATTGTCGAACCTTGTATGTCGAATAAAAAATTTAATGACCGTCACAATAATTTGATTGCTTTTTCTGTACTATTTTGTTTATAACCTTATCGAATTAGACAACAATTTTTGATTTAGGGAGTCAATGTAATTTTTGTTTAATTGATGCTAATTGGTGATTTCTATGATCTATAATAGCCTTTCAGTAAATAATCAACAGCTTTATTATATATTTGAAATCACATAATTAATTTCTATTTCATACTATTGTAATAGACTATTCACAAAATATGACACAATTTTTCGATAATTATGTGAATGATTAGTACTAAATAACTATCGATCCAATGATGTTGTTACGAAATTGCAATGTTACTGTTAATTATGTTTCATAGGTTAAAGATCAAAATGATCAAATTTATCAAAATGTGAATTTCATTCACAGCTTCAACTTCTGTTTTCAAGTACATACTTGTGTGTGCTAGGGAAAATGAGAAACGTTGTGGAGCCCTCATTCTAGTTAAAAAAGGGCAAACATTTTCCAAAATAGATCCAATCAATCGAATCTGAGATTGAAATATGTGCTATTCGCTACAGTATAAATGCTACAGAAATCACTATTGTAACAGGGTATAGACCACCAAACGGTGAAATCAATACTTTCATGGAATGCCTAACGCACTCCACCTTGCATGTAAACGCTCTGACTACAATTCTGTTTAGAGATTTTAATATAAACTGTCACAAATTGGATCTCAATACCAAACTACTATCTAATATTTTGAATTCATACTAGATGAGCAATAACCCTCAACGGATCACTGGAATTTTCAGAAATTAAAACGCACACAGTAGCTCAACCTGCATTGACATGGTGACTGGCCTACCCCAATCAAAATGGGATTGTAATTTGGTCCAACCAAACACATCCTGGTATACATATATCCTGAAACGTAGCTCATGCGTTGAAAATATGTATCAAGCCAAAAAAAAGGAACCTATAAGAAATCCTATCAGAAAAGCTGGATAACTCATGACATCATTGATTGAGAAAAAATCAAAGGAAGTGTTCTGGCTTCTCTCAAATTCCCAAAATTCCCAATAACATATTCATGGTTGACATAGTTACTCATATTTTGGCATCAAATAACCATTCTACAAAATTAGCACACCTACCATTTGGATAATGAAGTTCAATTATCATTTGCAGATAAATAAACCTTTATGAGCAAAAGTCTAAAATAAACCAGTCAGGAAATAAAATTAGATATACTTGGAAGATCATAAATAAAGAGATGGGAAGAAGCACAAACAATTGAGAGAAACGATGTCTCTCAAACAAGATGATGGGTCTATGAATGACTCAGATGAAGTAACTGAACTTTAGAGTAAAGATACGCCCGAAGAAGCCATTATACGGCGGAATACGTGTTGCGTTTTTGTAAAACTGTTTAGTGAAAATCTCACAATGAAGTGTTTTTTTGAATACGTTAGTTATGGTTCATATATCGACCAATTCCATCATATATATGTGCTAAGCTAAACAGAGCATATTATGCCATTAAAAAGCTGAAATCTAGTTTGGAAGATACTGGCTTACTCAGCATATATTATGCCATGGTCTATCTTCATATAAGTTTGAATAGTATGGCTTGGGACAGGGATAGGGATTTTTCTAGCCTTTATAGTACAGAAACGCGTCATAAGGCTAATCTTTAATATGGATTTCCGAGATAGATGCCGGCCCGTTTTTATAAAAAAAAAATATTGACAGCTCCCTCCATCTTCATCCTCAAATGTATCATGTAGTTAGGAAAAACCATATATTATATGAAAACACTGCTTTAGAACACAGTCACTATACAAGAAATGGTGATTTTCTAAAAATCCCACATCATCAAATGACAAACTATAAAAAACCCCTGAGTGTAATGTCATTACGTGCTTCAATAAGCTGCCACATGTAGTTGAAAAAATCACAAATGACAAAGTATTTCATGATTGTATTGAAAATATTCTTTTAGAAATGTGCTATTGCAGTTATCACGATTTTTTTATTGACAATCTCACAAACAATCAAAATCAGAGTGGTCGTAATTTCATTTAGGTTAATTTTTGCAAATGGTATAACATGTTCACACATATATTATATGAAAACACTGCTTTAGAACACAGTCACTATACAAGAAATGGTAATTTTCTAAAAATCCCACATCATCAAATGACAAACTATAAAAAAACCCCTGAGTGTAATGTCGTTACGTGCTTCAATAAGCTGCCACATGTAGTTGAAAAAATCACAAATGACAAAGTATTCCATGATTGTATTAAAAATATTCTTTCAGAAAGGTGCTATTGCAGTTACCACGATTTTTTTATTGACAATCTCACAAACAATCAAAATCAGAGTGGTCGTAATTTCATTTAGGTTAATTTTTGCAAATGGTATAACATGTTCACTGAAGTTGTGGAATTATATGTTCATTTGGATATATGTATATACTAACGACCACTACCCACACCGTGTGGTAAGTGATCATTCGGTCCGAGAATCATATGGCTTGAGCCAAGAATGACAACCTTCTGCATCTGTCGGCTATGATTTCTGCCTTAGTGTGGTATGATTTCAAGACTCAAGAGTAGAGAGGGCACCATTCCATCAAGGACTCCGGTAATCAAAACAACCTTCTTGACAGAGTGGTCTGAATAGAGTCTTCGGAGTTCGAAGAGAAATTCTCGATATTTTAACCGTTTTTCCTCCTCTTTTTGGATGATATTCGTCTCGCCAGGAGCTGAAAACTCCACGACAAATATCGTCTTGCTCTGGTGGTCGAGTAGGACTACATCTGGCTTATAAGCTTGTATGAGCCTGAGGGTGGGGAACGAATAGTTCCAATAAATTTGGCACTTCTCGTTTCCCACAACGGATGCCCACGGAGCGTAGGGCAACACCGGTGTCTCCTCAATATCGTAAGAGTGCCGTAGATGGTAATATAGCACTGTTAGGGCCGCGTTATGTCGATTAATATAGGCCATGATCGCATATGCTGGACATGCTGATAGCGAGCGCATTAGGGTTTCGGACGTCTCGTTGCAGACCCTGCACATTGTGTCAGGAACCTCATAACCCATCACGCGACTGCGCTAGACTGAGGTGTTGAAGACACCATCCTGGCAAGTCATGATGAACCCCTAAGTTTCCGACTTCAGCCCACTCGACCTGAGGAAAGCGAAAGTCAGGAGCTTTGACAAGCCGATATCTTCAATGTTATTGAAGAAGACCCCATGCAATGGCTCATCCTTGTGTTTCCGCAGAAGTGAGGCGATCTCTGCGGCTTTTATATGAGCTTTTTACTGAACGGGTTCCAACTCGGTGACAGAGTTGCGATCACCTCGTTGAGTGTCGAAAACTAAACCAAGTTCATCAGTTGCTCGGACAGCTGCCCTATAGAAAAATGCTCCAATTTCTCTCTCATAGTCGCGGGCCATGATCCTATATTAATGCAATCATTTTTCGGGTCTTTACGCCGAGTTGATACGGCTCCTTCCGAGTCCACTTCACTACTTCAAACGAGTATAGTAAGATTGGAACGACAAACATACTTGTTGCAGCAAGTTTGTTCTTACCCGACAGTTCCGATGACCAGATCTGTCGGAGTTTGTGCTGATACTTGCCGCGGAGGGAGTTATTTATTCACTGCTGTTACCTCGTGTGAGTGGCGTTGTTCCACCCCGAGGTAAGTATACGTCTCTCCGGCATCCAGATGGTGTAAGATGCTTCCATCTATGAACTGCACATCCTCTCCGTAGCCCCCACATGGTCCTCTTTTGAGATGGACCATTGCACATTTGTCTATCCCAAATTTCATACCGACGTCATGCCTGTACTCTTCCACCACCCTCAAGGAATGAAGGAATTATTATTATTATCACCATTATATGTTATGAAAATAACAAAAGTAATATCATTCTCAGCACAGTAATTCACAAACTTATGAGTAGAATACACTCTTTTGAAGGTAAGCAACAACCGAAAAAGCTGTAAATTCAATAAGACGAGCGCCATCTATATGTTAGGCCCAATACATTTCATCCCAGGTAGTATTTTAGCACACATGAAATAGATGAAGACTTTTAATTTTCATTATTCAAGACCTGCACCAATTTTCAACTGTATACGAATTATTGTAAGCTTATCACTTTTGTCACTTATTTTTAACTGGACTGCGAAGATATTACGTGACGGATTTCGATGCTATTCGGCAAATAATAATCATCACTTCCTCGACGTCATTAACTCCTCTCAACGAACCGAAGAAACCACTTTCTCTGGCGGTCGACAAGGTCATTTCGCTGTCGTTGGTCCAAGAAACCTCGCGGACGAGACTTCAGTCTTACGCGAGGAAGTTTCGGTATTCCGTTGATTTCGAAAAAGTGCAAGCTTCGCAAGGTGTGCGTCGAAATGTTCAGTTGCATCATTTATTCGGCTGTTCTTCTAGGGACGATATCGGCTGCAGGACCTTCGATAAAGAGTGCTTCTTCTTCTTCGTCGCATGTTCAAGGTGGATACATTATCTTTATACAAATAATTTTATTTACAAATATCTGAAAAAATGCGTTGGTAAATACAAAAATATACCAATTGAAACTTTTGATTTTTCATGGACACTTTTGATATCTGGATGAATAACACTTTTGTAAAACCTAAATCACAACTATGAGGTTTTGGGTTGAGGCTTGAAGCTCAACTTATTCACAATAACCTCAATAACCACAATAATAACCGAGGTGCGTCAAAGCGTTATTACTTACAAGTCAACATGAAGGAAGGATTTAGTATGTCAATTTTCAATCGAAATTCGTGTTTTGACATTTTCATAGGAAAAATAATCAATCTTTTGAAGCAGAGCTTGAAGGATTTGGCCTTAGAATGGGTGGGTGAATGAATAAAAATAACTCTGTTTCCGAATAGCGACAGAGATGTCATTCAAAACTCAGGTGTACTGAATCATTTCAAGTGTAACATCAGCAACAATTCCATGACATAAATTATCTAATGATGTTGGTTGAATTTCATTAATTGTAGACTTCAAGTAATTCTACAGAAAAATGCTAACGGACTCAAATCGAAAGACCTTGCGAATCTTCCACAGGATACCTATGACTGATAAAAGGAATCAGCAACACAATCACCATGAGTTTAAGTCCACAAGAGTAATGTGAATCTTTTCATAGACTGGATAAATATTTATCTAGTTCTTCAGGATGTTACGTGTGATCTTAATGGAATAAATATGGATTTTCGTTAGTCCAATACTAACTGTTATGACGATCAACAATCCTAAAGAAAAACAGCTGATGAATGACAAATTCGACTTATTTATTATATTTGCTGGATAACTGTGAATAGATAATGGTAAATTTTATACGAAGAGTGGAATTTATGGGATTTTGAAATTCTTTAAAATGCCTGGTTCTCAATATATGATTGAAGATGGTATGGCGAACAATTTATAATAATTAGAAGCAATATGATTATTATATTGCTTTATTTTCCAAAATTTCATCAAAGAGCTTTTTTTATTTGTCATTTCGAATGTGTTCATGAATTTAATAACATATTCATGGTTGACATAGTTACTCATATTTTGGCATCAAATAACCATTCTGCAAAATTAGCATACCTACAATTTTGATAATGAAGTTCAATTATCATTTGCAGATAAATAAATCTTTATAAGCAAAGTATCAAGTCATAAGCTTGTTAAAACACTGTGAGATGAATGGTATAAAGTGAAATTTGAAATGAGCGTCGTCGAAAAGTTTGTTAGCTACATAACGAACAATTTTTCACTACATTTTTTCTCAGAATCTCTCCAGGGTCATTGCCTCTGCAGCTAAAATTCGTTTAAACAAATATTTTTTTGTCAGTATAGAGAAAAATCATCGTTATCCAATTATCAGTTGCTTATCTGAACCATACCAAGGCAATATTTGAACCGTCTTGCATTCGAGTTGGCAAAATCCATCTTGATTTTATTCAGGTTTGGAGACCAGCCCCCCTACCCTTTCGACTGATTGTTGGTCTCGAGAAGGACCAATGGGTTCATGACTGATTGATGACGGCATGAAGTCCTTAGACATCAGTGCCGCCCTTAACGGGATACCCCTACCTGTCTGGGGCCAGGGGGACATGAGGGCCTCATTCGACAGAGTGTCGGGGCCTTCTATATCGGGAGGGGTCGTCTACAGCATAATCTCTGGCTTCCCTAACTAACGGGTTTTCATGAGTTTCCGTTCTTTCAAAAACTCTCTCATTCCTCGATTGGATGGACTGCCGAATGGAAGGCAGCTGCAAATCTCTGCGGATGGCTTCATTCCGCACGAACCAAGGAGCATTCACAATCATCCTAATTAGCTTATTTTGTAACCTTTCCAAAATGGAAATGTTGGACGGAGCCGCTTGTCCCCAGACGCCTGAAGCATACATGATGACAGGCTTGAACATCGTGTTATAGATCATGATTTTGTTCTTCGTGCTCATTTTTGATTTTCTGTTGATCAGAGGGTACAGATTGGATATCCGACCCTCGATCTTAGACTTAACGTACATGATGTGCGGGTTCCAAGTGAGCCTACGGTCTATTAGTAGGCCGAGGTACTTTACCCGCGCTTGCCAGTCAATCTCCCTTTCAGAGATTCTCACTTTTCCGGCCGGAGAAGATAGTAATCTTCCCATGGTTATCGCCTGAGTCTTTTCCGGGTTTACTCGGATCTTCCAATCGAGGTACCAGCGCTCGAGGTCGTCCAATGCACGTTGCATGTAGACGATGCCGAGCTCTCGACCCATGGAAGATGAGAGAAGAGCCGTGTCATCGGCGTACAGGGATATCTTCACTCGCTCGGACCTAGGCAGGTCGCTGGTGTAGAGTGAATGCATTCGAGTTATTTAGTATTTTGCTTAAAGTAGTTTCATTGAGAACCAGAACCAAAAGTGTGTTAGAAAGTGTTTTTCCAGTTATTATAAAAACAGTATATTAATATGATCACCACTAAAGTAAGGGATTTTCAAAATATCATAAATAGTTCATGTGAAAGAGGTACTTTGCATCTACTTGACTGTATTTGAAGATTAGGAAAAATAATAAATCACTTGGAATAAATTGGATCTTCTATACATGGAAGCTGTGAAAACATAATTATTGTGGAAACATGTTTATATGATAAAAGTGGTATAATCACCAAATGATTGCAACTGAACGATTACACCCTATTTATATTCATTTCTAACTTAAGATAAACTTGCACTCTCAATAACAGTTATCACTTCTATAATTTCCTAACTGGTTATCAATTGGCAAAGTGAGTCGAAAATGAAATATTCATAGAGTTTCTGTACATCAAAAAAGTAATTTTGTGAGATTTTTCCATCCAGAGACCTCGTAGCTAATTTTCATCATTGACTTCGAAATAAATTCGTTGTACTGAACTAGCCGTTGTTGCCTCATTTCTGAAATTATTAAAGTGAGTCATCTGTACCGACGAGCCATCTCACCCCGAATTACCCTATACCAATTATAGGGTCTGATAAGAAGAATACATTCAATTTTCCTAAAGAGCTTTCCATAATCTTCATCGCCAATGAAAAAAACTGTGTAGGTTTTTTTATGAAGAGCAGGAATAATAATTCCTTCAAAAATTCAAATGCGCACTCCAGTAAAGATTTTAGATAGAGGGTTATAAACATTTGTAACACTTTATTTGAAGTGTGTTTCATCAACAAAGTGTTATTGTTATCCTGACCAGCTTAGATTGTCTCCAGAAGTTTTTATTCTACCTTTCAGCACATTCAGTTTTTTTATGATTTGCTGATGCCTATAATATAACCGTAACAGTCACCCCACGGCAAGTCCTGTATCTAGTACTAGCAACCTCCATAACCGTCATATGACTACTCAATATCCAAGGTTCAAAGTTAACATCCTAACAAGCAAAAAATCAGCCTCCTGACAGATTTTGGCAAAGGATAGGTACTTGAATAATTAATGCACATAACCTTTCCTGGCCTCACTTTCGAAGTGATTTCTGTAGGTTAAGTGTATGTAGCCTTCTTCTGAACGAGTGCCGAATCGGTGGCAAATTTCTGCTTACTCCGATTATTTGGATTAGGTACTCGTTCCTTGGTTTCTTATTTCTACCACAATGCAACTCAATAATTTCATATTTTGTTTTTATTACTGTCTTTGTCCTTTATCGTCTCAACTCACCGATATATGGTAGAGGTTGTTATTTAAATTTATACAACCGTGACCGATCATTGGGGTATTTGACACTATCAAGATTAATCATTTAACAATAGGAGAGTGAGAGCACAGCTTATCAATAAATAAACCAAGTGCTATATTCGGGTTTAATACCAGGAGAACGTTTATCATTTAGTTGTTTGAAGGCTACGGTTAATCAGAATTGTTTTGTATACAGTACGATGCAAATGTATGGAATAAACTCGATATTTAAAAAAAAGCGTCCCGTGGAAGAAATCCAAAAAGACGTCAACTTCAATTTTTTGACGGCCCATCTCATGGTGTACATATGAGAGACGTTTCTTCATCGGTGTTGGAGTGATGACATAATCGACAATTTTTTTAAATACAAACAGGGGTAATGTGGCACTCCATTCAAAATGTCTACTGATCGTCTAGCCAACGTTATAATTATTCCAATATGTATTGACACAGGGTGAAACAAGACTTGTTATTCATTAAAATACAATAAAATCATAATAAATGTTCAAATTGATGACCTTCAGCAATGATGCAATGTGAAAGCCATGCAATGAATTCCTTTCTAACGTTTTCGAGAACTTCGGTGATTATTTGTGCAATCTCCATTCTGATGCGTTCCCTCAACTCTTCTAAATCATTTGGTCGATTCAAGTGCTGAGTTGAACCACTGAATTCAGCACTTGAAACAATTCTGACCTCGAGATTTGCGAATTTTTCAATATAACCGTAATTTGGCTGATAATCTGATTTGAGTTACCAACTTGTTATATCATTAGTTTGATTATTCAATGAATAACTAATTGAGTGGTATGCTTATTTAGATATAACTTCATTCCAAATCGGATAGTCATAGTCGTTTCAAGAAGTAGATCAAACAGGCAATTTTCTGATTTTTTTTTCGATATTATTTGAAATCAGAAACCTTTTGATGTGGGTAATGAATCATTTATATTGTTTGAACAATATATGTTCCTTAAAAAACTGTCTGCTGGATATGCATATAGAAAATGCGGTTTTGGGAGGATATATTAAAAATAATGAATTGGATATTCACGTAATAACTATGGCACCAACGTTAAAGTTGTTTTTGATATATATAATAATAATGTGACTGAGCATCCGAACAAAATAGATACACATGCTTCAGTCATGCTTCAGTCGATTATCTATTTGAAAAACATACATATCTTTATAAGGTTACGTTATCCAGATTGATTTTACTCAGTTATCTTTTTGCCACCCTGTTCTTCAAAATATAATAGAACATTATTTTTATA